CAAGTTTAGTTTGGCATATCACTCCCAGACGGTTGGCCAAACTGAGAGAATTAATAGATATATGGAGCAATTTTTACGTGCTTTTACCTTTGATCATCCAGCTTCATGGTCTCGTTACTTGGCTTGGGTGGAATGTCACCATAATACATCCTTCAACAATTTTACTGGGTAGACTTCGTACTAGATAACCTTTGGCAGACCTCCCCCAAATATTCTGGCCTATACACTGGATTCCTCATCCAATACAGTCGTCGATGCCTATCTAACATCGCATGCCTCCATCCTTGCAATAGTAAAAATAACCTCATTAAAGCCCAACAACACATGAAAACTCAAGCAGACAAAAAAGGAAAGAAAGGTTTTTTTATTGGTGAACATGTTCTTCTCAGGTTACAACCTTATAGAAAAATTTCGGTGCAGTGTAAGTCATCACAGAAACTTAGGTTGTGGTTCTACAACCCATTTGAGGTTTTAGAAAGGGTGAGACCGATGGCACATCATCTAAAGCTCCCACTTTTGACTCGTATTCACCCCGTTTTACACGTCTCCTTGTTGCGACTCTTTAGATCTGATCATCAATATTAGATCTATGATCTTCCGTATGCTTCTGCAGAAATGTCGTTGGCTCATACACCTTGCGCAATTATCGGAGAATGTGAGATATAGAGTAAAGGAAACAAAGTATCGCAGGTTCTTGTACAGTGGAAAGGTTTACCACCAAAGGATTGCACATGGGAGGATGAAGCAGTAGTGTTAGGGACTGACCTCGGTCTAGAAAAAATAGGCAGCACAGGATCTGAAGTTCGAAAGAACGAAGTAGAGAAAGTTACACCCTTTATGTTCAAACCATGTTTCGCCTCTTCAAAGATGGGAAATCAGGGAGTGTCTTATCCTAATGCCATTATGAGGAAGCAAAGCATTAATGACCCACCGACACAGCGCAACACTCAAGAAAACAAGTTTGTGAACCAGATGCATCCAACACGGCTAAGAGATCACAACCCTATTGTTACTAAGGAACTTCAAAAAGAGAATGCTTTGATTGGTCACTTTAGGAAGCAAAATCTAATCCTCAAGGACGAGGATAATTCTCCAGTCGTGGGCAATGTAACAGATCACACTATAAGATTGGACCAAGTTAATGATTTGAAAGGAAAAAAAAAAGGTAGGGCCTGTAGCAAACCCAAATATTTGGAAGACTACGAGACATATTAAAAAGGATATAGGCCGGATGTACAGTAGCCTAATGTTTTCATTTTCTTCTATTTTAATAGAGTCATGTATTAGACCTCGTAGTTGGGCATAGATCCATGATATGTGAAAGATATAATGTTTGAACAATAATACATAAGATAAGAAGAATCTTTTTCAATCCTCTTTCTCTCTCTTGCTTTCTCTCACTCTCATCTTCATCTCCTCCCTGTTACAGCTTATGGTAGAAAGAATGATGGGTATACACATATGGAACTGATCAATTCAATACCCCTCCTTATTATATTGGGATGAACCTTATATTAATGATTGTAGAGGTGTGTAATAGGGAGAGGGAGTTAGGATCATTTTTTTGGTTCAACAACACATCATATCAAGCCATTTAAAATGCAATTTAATTCAATGTTTTTTGGTAAGGTATGTATTGGGAAATGATTATGGTCTAGGTTTGTTGTGAATTTGATTTTGGACTTAGTCTTTTGAGAATAGTAAAAAAAAGAAAGAACTTTCATTTTTAAGGTGAATGATTGATATAGTTTATTTGGGTCATATAAAACTCTTGACAGAATTAAACCAACTTAACTCATCTAGCGTGGATAGTATCAGTTTGAGCTAACCCGTTCTGAACCAAAATTTTATTGGGCTTGTATTTGTGTTAGCCCAATATTTCGCGAAACTAACATAAATCAGTCGGTTTTAGAATTTATTCAAATAACTTTTTTTACAATTCTTTGAATTTAAAAAAATAAAAGGCTATTAATCAAAAATAAAATAAAATAAAAGGACAAATAACGTTATAAAATATAAATTACTAATTCTTATATAATAAAATGCAGTTTTTTCTCAAAAGTAAGATAATATTTTATTTTTGTCTTAAGATAGTTTGTTTAACTTTTTTTAATTGTTAAAATTTATCGTTTAGATCTCAGTTGCTCTATTCATATATACTAAATTAGATGGCACTATTAAATTTAGTTTAGTTTTATTTTCTCAAAATATTAGAGATAAATACTCTTAGAATGAGTTTTCTATATTAAAAAAAGTAATGAAAAATTTATAAATAATTATTTCACATTCCATACTTTTTGTTTTGGATAGTAGTATATTCAATTTAAATGCACGAATTTCAAAATGCTAAGGCTATCTTAGGATCAAGGATATGTCAAATTTGGTCAAGCTCTCCAACATAAAGCGTAGATTAAGTCAACCAAATCAAAACATTAAAAAATACTTTAGCCCAGTTTCGCCTAGTTTCACTTAAATGTCATTTTAAACAATTAATTTTAAATATTTTAATATAAACCAAATTAAGCTTTTAAATATAAATTAATAAAATAAATTATTGAAAGGTATCGCTTTTAGATCATACTTGTATGTACATACACAAAAGAAATGCAAGCCAATAGATCAAAACATGCATAGGGCTAGGCTACGTCAATAACTTATCAGTGTAAACAATATTGGGCAAGCTTTCAAAAAAAAAAAAAAAACTATATTGGGCTGGTTGTGAGTTGGCCCAGATTGAGACCTTCGCTTAGGATGCGAGCTATAAACAAACACCAATGTGGTGTTCAGATTAAGATGAATTATCAACATATATGGTTTAATTTCTAAACCCACAAAATTGAATAAAAGAAAAATAAATAAAGCAGACTTAGATGGGCTTAATTTAAAATTAAAAAATAATTAATATTTTCTGATAAAATTTTAAAAAGTAAATACTATTTCACAACAAACACTTACCAAATACAAAATGGTCTGGTTCTCGAGGTTTATGCTTCCAAGTAAAACAAGGCTCTGGTAGGGGATAAATTTTAAGTGGAGCGGATGTATGGTATATTTGTCCAAAAAAGAAAAGTTTTTAGGACTTAGATGGTAATACAAATTAAATGTTGGGTTTAAATGAAATTTTTTTCCACTTTTAGAAAAAAGAAGTACCCGAGTACTGCACCAAAGATTTATTCCCAGGTAGGGTGGTAATTAGGGTCAACACGACCTAACATGACACGACACAAATTTGATATAAATACGAATACACTCAACACAAACACAATACAAATTTTAAATCGGGTTAAAACTTTCGACATGAACATGACCTGATTATTTTGCAGGTTGAGTCACAACACGAAACGAATAATCCGCAAATTCATAGTGTATCGCTTATTATGCAATTTTACATAACACGACATGATACGAATAACTTGTCAATCCTAAATTGTGTTACTTATTATATAGGTCAACACGATACGATAAGACACATATAACCTATTTATGACACGATATGAATAATCTATAAGAAAATTAATGTGGGTCATTTTTGGGTTCGCGGGTTGATATACAACAGGATAGAAAAATTTTCGAATCTATTTTTATCAACTCAAACACGGCACAAATTTAAAAACGAGTCGATGCAAACACGAAATCTTCATATTACATGCGTGTCGTGTCAAGGAATCGTGTTTAAAATTGTCCCACTAGCTCCGGTTAGATTCGTATCCCCTAATCAAATTTAAATTGCACAAGCATATTTCATGTGCACGAGTAGACATTCCATTTGGATATGTTAATACATTAATTTAAGATATAAAAAATACCAGATAACAATTTTTTTTTTATAATTTTTGTTGCATGTATTGAGATTATTATTAATTATAACTCCAAAGTTAGAATTTTCTCATATTGTTATTTATTGTAGTTCAGAATGAGTTAATACTTTTTATATTTGTTTTACTTAGCAGTAATTGTAATATTCAGTAATTATCAAAGGCTAATCAAATGCTTGAATGTGTTTTCACCAAAAAATAAATGCTGGAATGTGAATAAAATTAGGGTTCGCTTTTTCTGCACTTACTGCAGATAAGTTATCTGCAGTAAGCCCAATACGACATCGTTTTGAGTGAAAATCATGGTATTTTTGTAATTTTAATTTATTTTAGGATTATTATAGTCTTTATAATTATAATTTTCTAATCTTTCAATCGCAAAACGATATCGTTTTGGAAGTAAATGCAGATAACTTATCTGCATTAACTAACTGCAGAAATATTTTTCTGATAAAAATATATATAAATCATTTCACTTATAATTTTGATTTCAATTTTAGTGTGTAACTGGATTAAAATACATTAACTATTTTTTTTGTTTAAAATAATTTATAATAAATTTTTGTTAAAATTAAAAAAATGTCACCTTTATATAATGAGATTAAATATTTTTTAAATTTAATTAAAGTCAAATATGCTATTATAAAATTTCTTCAATCTTTCGAAAATGTCACCTTCAAAGAAAAAAAAAAAAAAAGTACTAATCGTTGTATTTCCATTTTCTAATTCTTTTCAAAAACATGTAACCATCTTTTTTCCTCTCGCATATAAGTTAAAGGCGAAGATACAAAACATCCTGATATGTATCAATTCCAGAATCAATGTTTGTGTGCGTTACAATACTATCAGACATTCTGACAGAACAGTACAGTCTAATTCTCACAAATCAAGCGCAAACCTAACCTGGACCAAAATTCATCCTTTCACAATAATCATATACACAAATAACTATCATTAAATACATGTAATTAATATATACCAAAAACTAAAAGAGAGTGAAAAAATAAAAATAAAAATATATAGGTAGTAATGAGGATTAAGCTCTGCACAGCTCAGACTCAATTTGTCTTGGTTGGTCTAAAGCGGCAGCTAATCCAAAACCACAAGACACAAAAATCACATGAAAATTAAACCCCATAATGAAATCTAATTTTGGATTTCTTCATCCTCTATGTTCGTCTCTAACAAATCTAACTGCTTGAAGACAAAGTGGACAAAGTAGTAGCAGATGAAGTTCTAGGTGAGGGAGATGCATTCTTCAACACCACCGTTGGTAAAATACTTGTTTTTCTTCTCTCTTGTTCCTTCATTAACTCTCCCCCAAACAACTCTAACTTATCCAAGTTAGTGTTTTCCACTACCTTCTTTCCCTTAAACAAAACAGATTCCACATTCTTCTGCCCCAACATCTCCTCCGAAACTGCCAACAAATCCGACGCCGTTTTGCTAGACTTCACCTGCGTCGACTTGTTTGCCTTCGCCATTATCCCATTTGATTGAATCCGCACATAATTGCTCATCCGACACTCACCAAATGCCATTGATACAGCTTGATCAACCTACATTATTATTATTATTTTTAAATTCACATTAGAATATTTATACCAATAATTAAACCAACTTTTTTATTTTTAAATATAGATAAATGTGTTTGTTAGGTGACACATTCATTACTCTTCGCCTAACTACCAATTTATAACATTTTTTTTATTAGAAAAATATCATAACTTTTTTCATGGACATTTATAATTTATCAGAAATTATTAATCTAGTTTTAATATAAAATTTCTTACCATATCAGAAGCTCCTTCACCAGCGATCCTGACGAACCCTGACGGTGACTTAACGGCGTTAAAGTCTGACTCTCCGTTACCCAGGGACAGCACCAACAGGTCCGAGACGCCGTTGCAGAAGGGGAACTCGTGCTTGTTGTTCAACACGTGCGTGATGGCGACAGCCGTGGGATTGTTCATCGCGACCCCACCATCGACGGCCACGATCTTCGTCCTGCCGTCGATGGAACTTACATCCGTGGGGCCCATTTTGGCGGGGTCTGCTGACGTGGCAGCACACACGTCGCGCATCTTGAAATCGTAGCCGTCGATTTCCAGGGCGTCGGCGCGGGAGAAAACGAACGGCGCGCGAGTGTTGAGGTCGTAGCAGGGGATCAGAACCGGCTTCAGAGTGTCCTTCAGCGTGCACTCGCCGAACGTCTTCCGGAACAGCTTCTCCGCCTTCGACGATGCCGGCCGGAGAAACCGCCGGAGAATCCCCGACGACGGGGAGATCTTGCGGCGGTTGTCGATCATGAACTTCAGCGCCTCGTCGGCGGTGAACATAGGGAGGCCGTCACGGCCGCGGGTGAAGAGCAGCGCCGCGAGGATTCCGCCGACGCCGGAGCCTGCGACGGCGTCGAAATAGGCGGCCACGTGCGCGTTCGGGTTGCCGGACTTGCGGCGAAGGCAGTCCTCGAGGTGAGCGAGGGACTTGGCGGCGAGGATGCCGTCGGTAGCTCCGGCGCCGTCAATGCAGAGGATCCTGACCTTGCCGGCGGCTTGTTTGGCTGGTTTCGCGTCTTTTGGGGGAAATTGAGTGGAATTGGGAACTGAATTCTTGGGATTCTCGGTGTCGCCGTAGCCGAAGAGGAACTTGTTCTCCAAGATGGAGAAGATTTCGTAGGTGAGCTTGTCAACTTCGAAGGTAGAGTCAATCATGTTCAGTGCCGCCATTTCTGCAATTTCAGTGAAGGTTTTTTTAGAGAGAGAAAGTTAGAGAGAGAGAGAGAGAGGGAAAGAGACTTTGACAGTGATTTGTATCGTTGAATGTTGATGATGAAGAAAGGAGTAGAACGTGGGTTTATATAGTAAGGAATGAGAGCGAGTGAGTGTGATGATCGTAGAACATTCCTAAGATGGGCGATTAATCGCCACACGATTTGTATTTTTCTTTTACTTTATTTTAAATTAATTTAATACTGGGGGTGTGGGAGGAAGGAGGGAATAGTTTTAAAATTAGACGGGAAAAAAAAAGCAGTGTATTGAAAGAAAAGAAAAATCACAAAAAAGTTGCAATTCAACAACTTTATGTATGATGATGATGATGATGATGTGTATGAATTTAAAATTGAGTTGGTGGGTAATGTCTGTTGTGTTAGACCTCAGTCTCTATTTCCTTTTTGTGTTGCACCTTTTCTTCCAGGGAAATTGCTTTATTCGGGTTACTTTCATTTCAGCCAATAAATTTTAAAACAGAGTGGGGGGAAGGTCATGGAGTTGCACAACTCTGTTCTTGTTATTCCAATATTTAGTGCATATAATAAATAAAGGCGATTTGGTACACTACATTTTCACACTTCTATTTGAAAATTATAGTCGCGGTGTTATATTAAAAATGGACAAGTAAGTCATTTTTAGTCATTCCACTCACTTTTTGGGTAAGTAATTCACATTTTCAAGCATATGTGAATTAAATGCTAAAATTTAAAAGATAGTATATATATATATATATATATATATATATATATATATATATATATATTGTAAACAAATAAATGAAATGGATATTCTACAGCTTTGTTTTATTTCACTTATGTAACTACCTAATATATTAAAGTAGTAATATCTTAATATCTACTCTCTCAAAGAATTATATGTGCCATTCTTAACTTCTTTTCCTTTAAATTTAAGTTCTTTAATTAAAGTATATATAATGAATTTATTATAGTACACTTTTAAATTCTTTGATTCTCTTAGGAGGAATTTAATATAGGTAATGCTCGTTAGTGTCGTTATGCACTGCATCTATATCCTAACAACTTTATTACTAGCAAGATTAGATATAGATATCACAAGTCACAACTATATAATCTAGAGAGGATCAAGGGATAAGATACCTATCCTCATCAATCAAGCCAGTCGAGTATCTACCTTATAGATATTTCTGAGCGCATACCCTTGAGGTATCCCTGTATTGTTCATTAGTATTGAACATGTAGTATTAAGGGTTTAGCTTTCAATAGGTAGCCGACAGCCAAAAATTAATTATTTCGAGGCGTATAGATCAACAAAATGAGTTTACCTCTATCTACAAAGTATTTTTCATATACACAGTCAGAGATCGAACCCCTGTCAGCATGTTTAAGAAATCTAGCTATCTACCAACTGTTCTGGGCTTTGTTGGTGTCTTCCCCTCATTTTTCAATAATGAAATTCTACCAAAAAAATAAAACGAAATTATGTATGTATAATTTAGAAAACAAGCAATAAATTTTTAAAAAAAAGTGATTCATAATGGACTAGTAGTAATAGTTGAGGAGTTTTACTCTATTTAGATTCATTTACTGGTTTCTTACTTTAGGGATGCGGAATCTTAGAAAAACATTTCAAAATCTAGTTACATCACTTTCGTTGTGAAACATAACAGGTTAGTGTGCACTTAGATATTTTTTTTTAAAAAAATTCCTTTATAATGTGATTTTTAATTTTTTTTTAAAGCTACTTTTTCTAGCTTTTAATAAAATTACTAAAATTATATTTTGATTTTTTTATCTTCTTAAAAATTATCTATTTAATATTAATATTTTAAAATTATTTTTATAAAAAAGTACTTTTTCTTTTCAAAAAACATAAACAAATGAGCCATTATAAACAAAGTCCGACACATTTGGTAAATGGTTGAGTCTCTTAAGCATGCTGACAAAGATTTGATTCCTGGCCTTGTATATGAAAAAAACTTTGTTGGTAAAGGTAAAACTTACTTCAATGATCTCTACGCCTCGAAAGAATTAATCTTCTGTTATCGCCATGGGATACTTTGAAAAAACTCAAAAAATTGGGCCATTAGCCTTTTATCTTTACGGATTTTCCTACACCTATATATGTAGGGGTGTTCATCAACCGATCCAAACCGATTCAAACCGCGATAACCGAACCGAAAAACTGATAACCGAATAAACCAAAAACCAAAAAACCAAAAACCGAAAAAAAATCGCAAATTTTAATTGGATTGGATCGGTTTTCGGATTGGCAGATGAAAACCCATCCAATCCAAACCGATCCAATATATTAATTTCCCTCTACCTACTTGGGTCTTTTTCCAATCATAGCCCACAAATTTCTGAACCCAAGACCCATTAACTAAATCCAAGAAAAAATCTAATTACATCTCATCAACAAAATTTCATCTATATAGAGCTTCATATCTCACTGCCCAAAAAAAAAAACTATATTATTGTTTGCATATAATATGTACAAAAGATGTTATTTGCATAATAATCATAAAACAAATTTTAGGATTTTCAAAAAACCGAAAACCGATCCGATCCAAACCGAAAAAAATTAGATTGGATCGGATCGGATTTGAAAACAAATCCAAACCGAATGGATGGTTACATGATCAAACCAAAAGGATTGGATCAGATGATTTTTGCTTCCAAAACTGATCCAATCCAGACCGCGAACACCCCTATATATATATATATATATATATATGTAAATATTGGTTATTTCCTAACACACACACACATATATAGGTAGGATCCTTTGACACCAGTGTCAAATTTCAAATTTGACACCTCATCTAATAGTTATTAGATCAAAAAAGATCAATGACTCTGATTTGTAAGCATATGACATCATTGATTTTTTTTTATCTAATGGCTCTCAGATGAGATGTCAAATTTAAAATTTGACACTAGTGTCAAATGATCCTACCTCATATATATATATATATATATATATATATATATATATATATATTATCCTTCTCCCAAATATGCTGTATTAAAGTTTTAGGCATATGAATTGAATAAAAAAAACAAAAGATAAGCATTAATGGGAGAACACTGAAAAGTTAATTTCAAAGGCGAATTATGATAGTACACCATACCAGAAAAAATTAATGTCATGAATCTTGTGTCATTAAAATCTCTCTCATAATCTCTTATCCACTCTACGAAATTTGTACTTTCTATGTTCAATGAATGGCTACTAAGAAAGCCGTCAAGATATAATAGCTGGTTTATATTTTTATTCTCCTGAGTAAGAATCCAACATTTGATGCAAAAACCGTGGTAGATTTTGCCTTATAGTCTTTTCTTACTCTTCATAACATTGCCAAATCTAACAGTTTGGTTCGTGGCATTAAAATTTACGAGCTAACACCAACAAAAAAAAGTAGCCCCATGCATCCAATTTGTGAACTTTCTTTAATAATTTGGACATTAATGTTACAGATGAGATTCGCAATCACACACCCCATGTCACGTCCTGCTCAACGCCATTGCTAATATCTCTTGCTCTCACTGTGAGGGTCAGAGGGAAAATCTCAGTAGGGCCTCTCACAAAGATGTGGTCTCTCAGATCTTGTTACCAATAATAACTCTGTAGGCTTCTCTCACTCTCTTTCTCTCTCTGCCTTTTCCTATACAGCCTGTTATCTTCTTCGTCCCTTTACCCTTCTCCTAAAAAAGTTCATGCATGCACTGTACGGTTGTACCGACATTCAACTCGAGCCAAATATTTTCTTTTTCTCCACTTTCCCTCACACTACTATTTTAATATCTTTAATTTTTCTTTTTTTGCTATATATAAAATGAAAGATTATTAATAGAATGATAAAATTTTTAGTATTTCATTAGGAAATAGCTTAGTCAAATGTAATTGTATTTATATATTTGAGACTATTTAGTGACTTGCTTAATCTTGACGTAAAAAACTTAAGTAGTAGACATTTTTAAAAATAAAATCAGTACATATGTAATATCTAAAACAACAAATATTTTGAAAAAGAGTGAGTAGTTCATGAGCATGTAATTTTGTGTTAGCTATTGTTCTTTGTAAATCTTCTCCAAATGTTCTTGTCTTTAAGACAAAAAGAGAAAAAAAAAATAACAGACCAGGATTACCCTAACATGAATTTAGCCACACCCGTATGTCCCACAGTGGATGAGCATATATCTATCCATTTGGCTCTATTGGCTAACCGTACAAACAATTCAATTTTACGTACAACTCAATCATAAATATGTGATTATCTACCTCCCTCTTCCCTTTTCTCTTTCTTCGGTTCACTTCAATATTTTTTTTAAATATCTAAAGTATTATATTTAAATTTTATCTTAAAAATATAATTAAGTCAAAAATGTAAATTGAATCTTTAAATTTCCATTAATTTTTATAAATTTTTATATAACCCTATGATTTTTTAAAATAAAATTTATAATATAATATTATTTCATTCATTTATTTTTTAGAAGAGGGTATCAAAATGCTTTATATATTTTTTAATAGTTGAAATGATTAAAAAATACAGTTGATGAGCAATTAAAATACAGTTGTACGTTCGGACAGTACACCTCGCAAACCGTACCATGAACATGTACCAATGTACCAACTGCTAAGTGCTGAGCTGTGGTGAACAGACTCATGCTCTGCCATGACCCCAAAACCAAAGGGAAATCACATATATCCTATCAAATTAGTATAGAAGATGGCAATTGGGAAAAAATAAGAGGAAATTGAAGAGAAAGAGGACGAAAGTGATCGCGATTCCACATGAATTTGTTGGTACATTATGCAATTACGATTTGGTTGGTGCTGAGAATTGATATTTGACAGGCTTCGATATTTACTATGCTTAATAAGTTGAAGTGGAAGTTATAGATGAGTACTTTTTTGGGAGATATGAACAGTAGTAAAGTACTTACATATGGGGTCAACAAAAGGACGAAGGTCACACCATTTAAGAGCTGTGTATGAGAAAG